TCAGGGTTAAGATTACCCATAGGTTGATAGTTAGAGTTTGTGAGAGGAGGAACGTTAGGAGGTGAGGGTTGAACAGGAGGGATGTAAGGAACAACAGCGGTGAAAGGGTCCGAAACGATTGGGTTTGAGGTTTGTGGATCATAGGAACTGACTAAGGCTACAGGACCTCCAGTGAGTTCACGTAAAGTTTGAGAAACATTTGACTCATGACCTTGAAGTTCATCAAAAAGTTGATAGAGCTTGAGCTTTTTCAGAGATCCATTGCTCTGAAGACATGATTTCACGTTTCCCCATCCCTTTCCTAGACTGTTAATGAACTTGAGATTGTACTCAAGTGGAGTTTGGACTATCCCATGACTTGTCCTGTTGTTGACAATAATTCAGTATCTGTTTGAGGCTGAGGCAACAGATTCACCAGGTGTTGTAGTGAAAGTGTCGAACTCATTGACAACCGAAGTCAAGCGCTTATCCTTCATGTTCTCTGACCCTTCAAATAAGTCTTGAAGTGTGTCCCAAATCTATTTTGCAAACTTGCACAGGTTGATGTGCTCAAAGAGGGATGGTGGAACACCAAACACCATTTCCGAAAAGGAAAGTTGATCAGCATGTAACTTTTCAAGGTCATCAGCAGTGAGAGGTGCTTGACGTTGTTGATCCTGTCCCAAGAGAGTTGCAGCAGCATCTCTAACCACGGTTCGAACTGGAACATGAGGACATTCTTTAACGGATCTCCAGATAGATTCACCTTTCTCTTTTCCAAGTAAAAATCTTTCCATTCTAACTTTCCAGTGAACATATTCTTCTACAACTAGCAGTGGGGCACGTGTAGGGCAACCCACTCTATTTGCTATTTGCTATTTGCATTGAATACATTTGTTGAGTATTAGAAGCAGCCATTGAAGTTAAGATATCTTGAGAAAAAATGGTATATAGAAAAATTTTTATCCTTAACACAGATTTGATCGAAATACCAAGGTAATTTCGAATAAACTATAATATGATCTTATGGATTCAAAGGATAACCGCTCAAGCTCTGATACCAATTGTGAGAACAAGGACGATCTGATGCGCAAGGACAAGGTTTGAAAACTCAAACCTTGAATGAATGCTTAAGATCAATGTCTGCTTGCTAAGGAATGTTCCAGTCAAGTCTGGCAAGACCAGTCAAGTCTGGCAAGACCAGTCAAGTCTGAGTTAATGCATTCAACAAAGTATTCAAGATATTAATGAAAAGTGAAGTGAATGATCAAAGTAAAGATAATAAATGAGGAACAAGAAGAATGTTTAAGAAAATAACATGAAAGGTGAAATAACTAGAATATTACTATCTTTGAATGAATGATCCGTCTGTTGATTTGTCATTGAAAACTCCTATAAATAGGAGAACATGAAACATCGTACAAACTGACTTACATACATAAGACTGGATAGTAGAGTTACTTCTGACACTCTGATATCCGTGTTTGACAAAAGAGACTAAGTCCTATGATAAGTAACATCAAGCTAAATGACAAATACAATAAATGCACATGGATAAAACACTGATTCGAACAAGCTAACATTCCGGACACATTGTTCATTCCGGAATGCCTTCAATTGATCTTCTCATCCGGAGCAAAGCTTCAAGTCCGGACACAAAACTTATTTCGTAACATCATCCATTTTGGAACTCTAACTGACTTCGGAACTCCAAGAAGGTTAGAGATTGCTAGAGGTTCACTTTCAGGGTTTAACAAAAATGAGTGGGCAAAAAGTAATATCAATTTTACGATGGTTAGTATATTTGGAAAGTTCACAACAAAGTGATCCTAATGATATAAACGTTGCAAAAATCTGACTCTGATTGCAGGAGTTATGATTTTATAAAAGATAAAAAACCAACCGCATTAATAATGCTATTAACGTCAAAATAGCATATAGAGATGTTGAGTTTCGACTGACGTCACTAAAAGGAAAATCGTAGTAACCTGTAAGATAAAGACTTTGAAAGGAAAAATGTCAAAAACGGAGTTCGTATGAAGGAGATACGATTTTTAGAAAAGTATAAAATACGGGTTAAAAATGAAATTCAAAATTTTGACAACGCGACCTTAAGGAAAGTTATAGTACTAGTAGAGAGCTATACAAATATATAAAGAGGATAAGAAACAAGATTCATATAAGGAAGATATTAATTTTTATAAAAGATTTAGGGGTGCACACCAAGTGCGCGTCATGCCCGTCGTGCACACCTGACACCCAGATTCGTCGAAGATTAGGGAGATGTGGACGATCAGAAGTGTGACACGTGGCAAGCTCTGGATGGAGATTAGGGATATGATGCCCGATAGTCTAGGAAGAGATAATACCTAGATGTTATAATGGACAAGTCCCCAGGATAACGTAGTACCTAGAAGTTATGATGGTCAAATATAGGGATATGCACCGTACCTAGTTGATACTCTGCCAAAATATCTTGTTTTCAAATAACCATAATTAGGGTATATATATGAATACTTATATATACAAAATAATTATGAGATCAAAAGTTATAATTATAAAAAATAAAGATAAAAGATTTATATTGTGATAGTTATAGGAAATCCCTAGGTAGGATAAAAGATAAAATATAAAAGATAAATACTTAAGGTCAATGCATTAGTGAGTTGTTAATATTCATCCAAAGGCCTTGATTAAATTCGACATTCCCCGATACCTATAACCGTTAATCTTGCGAGAGCTAGAAAGATATGTATATATCTATATGGGGTCAGACAACCCCACCTGCGATTGCTAGCTACAATCCTGGCAGGATAACTTTCTTATTATTTACTATTCGACGTCCGATGAAGCGTCGTGGCGGGGCAAATTATTAGTCAAACGGCGTCGATTATGGGGGCTCAAGGTAATACATTAGATCACCTTAGAGATCAGACTACCATTAGGGACGCCTTAGAATGGTAAATACAATACATTAGGATTAGATAAGAATCCTAAAAGATAATAAGATAGGATCGATAGATATCCTAGAGATAATAAGGTAGGATCGATAGATATCCTAAAAGATATTAAACTAGGGTTGATAAAATACATTAGGAAATGTTTTTCTAAATGAAAAAGGACTCTTAAATTAATTCAACCAAATAAAAGCCGAAAACTATAAAAACTTGTGCACTCACCAACATCAAGTTGACGTTTTCAAAAATCTCATGTGTTCCTAGGATGGAGTAGAGATCAAGTCAAAGAATGATTATCAGCATGAAGACTTGTAGATTTTCGTTTAGATAAGTAATTATGATTGGCGCTTTGTGATTTGGGAAATCTGTATATCGTCACCACTCGACATTTTCCGCCATCGGCCGGGGAGGGTGTGACACACAATGCTAAAAAAATATGAGTGACTTTTTAAAACCAAAGTTAATAGGTCATGGGTGAACAATAACATTAATTGTTTGCTTTATTCTTGATTGAATAAATATTCTGAATAAAGACCAAATGACCATTTTACCCTCTTATAAAACAAATTTCACATTATTCATCATATTTAACATGAAAGGATCAATAGATAAGTGGTTCTTTTTGAACGTTTGGTAGGTAGTTAAAAGTTAGTATGATCAAGTTAGTGGAAATCAGTCAAATCACCAACGCCCAGATTAGATTAGATTAGATTAGAACCCGAGATCTTCATTCTAAGGCAAAGTCTCTACCAAGTAGGTTAGTCCCACATTGGCAATAAGTAAGTGGTTAGTGTCATAATACATTTTAGTCATGAACAAATGAATGGGTCAAACTACTGGCAAGACCATACCGATTATTCACTACATGAGACGGCCTCAGTTCTAGTAGATCCAATTAAGGATGAGCTTTAGAATCGCTGGAAACGGAACCGACACAAAACCAACAGGAAACGGTCATAATTGAATAAAACGGTCTCGTTGCTGGTTCTTATAATATAGCAAAATCGATCCCGATTCTAACATCGGTTCGGTTCTAACAAAAATCGATTAAAAACTGGAACCGACCCGGAAGAGTAAAAGTCAAAATCCAGATTTTTAAAATATTATAACTCACTCATATGAACTCGAAATTACTTGATTTACTTCAGTTTAGACTGTAAAAAAATCATATTTTTGTTAAATATTGAATCAGATGCAGGTCCGGAAAGACAACATATCAATGCAACGTTCTTTTATGTTTCATCACGTTTTTTTCTTATGTCTCGGTTTTTAAAATACCACAACTTACTCATATGAAATTATAATTACTTGATTTTTTTTTCAGAATGTAATTTAGTGTTTTTATTTCAGTTTAGACACTAAAAAAAATCATATTTTGGTTAAATATTGAATAGATACAAACCCGAAAAGACAACATATCAATGCCACTTTTTTCATTTTTTTTTATATATGAGAGTTTAATTGTTTTTATACGAATTTTACATTTTATTAAATGCTAACAACCTTTTTTTTTTTTGTTTTGTATAGAGATTGAGGAAACTTTACACAATGACAAAGCAATGGGAAAGAAGCAAATGTAGAAGTAGATGATAGTTCACTAGTTTACTTTGGTAGCACCATAAAAATGGCATTAAACTGTTATTGGTTAAATTCTATTAAATTTGATATGTGGGAATATTTAAAAAATATTTAGAAACTTGATTACTGAATATTATGTTTTTTAGGAAACCAACTTAACTACATGTAAGTATTATGAATTGCATCATCATTAGTTTCACCTTATTTATAACCGGTTCTTGTTTGGAAAAATAACCAAAAAAGCTGGCACCGAAACCGTTTAGTCTACGGCGGTCCGATTCCTAGCCTTCCTTTCTCATTTGGTCGGTTCCTGGTGCGGTTTAGGGCGGTTTTGGAACCGTGCTAATTCCTAATACATTTAGCCAGATTTTTTAGCTTAACCTATTAAGTCGGTCCAAAGTAAAGTAAAAAAGAAACATCTATGTGTAGATCAAGTGGTAAACCCATTAAGCACATTAAAAAGGAAAAAAAAAAAAAAAAAAAAAAAAAAAAACCATCAACCCTTCTATTGAAATCCTGGACAAAGTGTTACAAACTAGTGAGACATTTTTATGGAAATTAGAACAAAAAAATCACCTAGTCCACCTCAAGAATGCAATTACTATAATAAAAGTAAGTATCATTCCTGCATACTTGATCCTTTGATCAACTCGATTCCGCCTCTCAATTACCCTCAATACTGTATTTGATAGCCCCAATGTATTCAGCACATCCAATGCTTTCCTTTGAGCTCTCTGCATAGTGCATACAATATAATCCCTCATTCCATTCCATTACTTTATTGGTGGTTCCATTCCATTATAACAAACAGACCCTATTAATGGAAACACAGTACAAGTACCTTTAATCGATCCCTTTGTTCAGAGTATTTAGCAAGAATGGCTGTTCCAGTTGCAGTTGCTTCTTCCAACATTCGAGATGAGTTACGTGCAGACTGCATTGCTTGTGCTTCCTCATCAAAAATTCTCAAAACATGAGATGATTCACCGTTCTAAACATAAGGTAAAGGCGAGTTGTAATCAAGAATTCATTGAAGATGTTAAAGAAGAAAGGTAATTAACATACAGCTCTTCCAAGCAATTCTGCTCTCTCTTGAGCTTCTTGAATCCTTTTCTGTTGACGTTGAAAATACCTATCTAAACTTTCCTTGAAAGAATCAGCCTCTTCAGCTATTTGCTCCACTTTTCTGCAACATTAGAAGTCGTTTAAACTTTCTGCCTATGATCAAACTTGCCATAATCATGCGAATTCTTCAATATCGGTGTCTGAAATCTCTTCATTCCGGTGTCAAATTTGATTTTGGGGATATATATATAACCTTGCTTGATTAGCGACGAATCACGATTTTATACAATCAGTTGTGATTCCTAACCTTTAAAAAGTTCATGATGGTACCGAATTCTAAGCTAATTCTACATTCAATTTAAGAGAATATAAGGTAGATGAACATTCCGATCACAGATTCGTACAGCTGCGGAGGATAAATTTGAAAACAAATTGGGATATGTGTTGCGATAAACCCTAGGGCTAAAATACGAACCTTTTCCAGAGATCACGCTGAGGCTTGGAACCAACGGATCGCCAGAGTCCATCCATATCGGAACAAAGGGTTTGAATTTGAGAGATATCTCTCCTGACGGCAACTGCAAGCTCCGGAGAATCGACGGAACCTGCTGAAGACGAGAATTCGAGACGTTCAAGGCGTTCCAAGCCATCTCTAGTTTTCAACAGCAATCGCCTTGAGCTCTGATACAGTTCCGATAGCGTTCCTCCTCCTTCCACGGCCATAGAAGGCGAGAAAAAGCGAACGTGTAGAGAGTGCACGAGGAGAGATTAGAAAACTAGTTTCAACAAAATTTGTCACCAAGTTATAGTATGAAATGCTAATAGCGAATATGGGATGCGTAGGCCTTTTTCTAGGATCCCGAATCTTGATCGTAACTGAATCGGATTTGAATCACAAAAATAATGAAATTATAAAAGGTTATTTGCAAAACTTTGCAAAACTTTTTGGATGTATCTAAGGGAGCATTTAATCGGGTAGATTAATCGGGTAGAATCAGACCGGGTCAGAAAAAAACTAGAAAAAACTAGAACAGAACCGAACAAGGTATTCGATTAGGTTTTTTGTTCTCCATTTCCCATTAAATTGGTTCTCGGCCCGAAGCCGAACACATCCCTAAAAATCATAGTTACTTGTAGAACCAAACTGAACCAGAAAATAGGGTATTTGGTCCAATTCTGGGTTCTCGGTCCGGGTCCGAACCAATGCTCAATTTTTCATCCATATATCTAACTATCTACAAATTTTGCATTTCCAAAGTTTGTAAAGGTAATAACGGATTTGTTTAAATTATGTTGTTAGGCACATTACTAGTTTACCCATCATTTAATGACCCTCTCTCTCTCTCTCTCGTCAGTGCTAAAAAAGACATGAATGCCCTTAATTTGAAAAAAGTACCATATTGACCTCTACGCGTGAGTGTAAGAAATCTTACTTCCATAGAAGTCTTGACTCGTTTCTTCATTATCTCTCTATCTATTTTATTTCTGTCTTTGATTCTATACATAGGTTCATTCTCTATCTCCCATCTTCTTTCTTTCCTTCTCTTCCTCTGTACATGCCTACTTTCTTACTCTTTCTACTCAACACGTCCCTTTCTTTCTACACTTTCTTCACTCTTTTGACTCTTTCTTTTCCCCTCTTTCTACATCTATCTCAACATCTCTTTCTCTTAGGGATACATACCTTAATTATGGTCCACTCACTAGGACACATCATCTTCAACACATCTCTTGCTCATGGTAACCATGATATCATTCTATTTACATACATAACATCTCTTCACTTAAAGAGCAACTTCTTATGTCATTTCACAAAAATGACCATTCATTCTCTATTCTTAACATACTTGAACCAAACCCTCTTGGTTAGTCCATCTACTAACTCAAACTCTTAGGATCTTTATCTACACATAATTTTAGCCGTGTACCTAAATCTCATAACATGGTTTATTACGAAACCAATTCATACTCTATCTCTTATTCATATACCATGACACTAACAATAAACATACATGACCTAAGTGATCATCACTAATAGTGGTGCTAAACACTCTGGTTCTTTTCATCTCCTATAGCTTAAGCCTAGTTGGCATACGAAACCTAATTCGCTCAAACTATGTATCTGATACCAACTGTAACGACCTGAATTTTTCCATCTAAATATATAAGGATTTATCAGAGTTTTTCTCTAAGAATGTGGAATTTTAAAATCAAAAACATCTTACATCCCAGGCTATAATCGGGTTTACAATATATCCTAGCTACAATTTAAAAGCAACAAGGAAATAATAAAGATAAAATCTAATTATAGTCCTAGTCCTTATGCTCCAATATCCTATCGCACAACGGTTACACCTGTGTGATATCTGTCTTTCGTGACCAGGTATCACTTCAGAAGATATAAAATGATATGAGGCGAGTAGGTCAAAAAAGCTTGGATTTACTTGAAATTAGATATTTGTTGTTTAGCAAAATGGATTTGAGAAAGTGATACATCTTTTAAAGAGGAACACGTGGATATAAAGATCGTTGAAAACGAAGTTCGTATAAGAAATTTATGGGCGTTTGAAGTTGAGATGAAAGTACGTTGCTATTTAGAGAAATTCAACGGAAGTCAAAGTCAACGGTTAACTTTTGACAACCACGACGTGGCACATAGATGGCTACAACATGGCAATAAGTGAATTATGATTACACGTATCAACCAGAGATAGACACGTGGAGAGACGAGGTCTATTCAGTCATCATGACGTGACAACAGATGTGTCACGACGTGTAACACCTGGTTCCTGGTATGTATTTAATTTATAATTATTCCATTTTATAGAGCAACTCGATGAGTTGGGAGCCCCAAACTCTTCGAGTAGAGATCATAAGGGTCGTGTATTTAAGTAACCTACTCGACGAGTTGGGAGGCCTCAACTCGACGAGTAGGCTGGCAAATATGAAACTCTAATTTATGGGGTTTGTACCCTATTTAAATGCCTTAAACCTTTCATGTTGGCCTCATTTCCAACCTCCAAGTCCCTAACCCTAGATCTCGAAACCCTAATGATATTGTGAGTGATTGTGAGCCATTCTAAATGTTTTTAGTGTGTGCTTGAAGCCATTGGTAGAAGGAAAAGCTTAAGGACACAAGAAGGAGTTTGTAGATCCAGAATCCTTGCCTCATCCACGACATTTTGTTGGTATAAATCTTGAACCTTGCCTTGTGGTTGTTTAGATCTTCTTTTAGGGTTATTTGCTTGGTTTTTGGTCCAAATGATATGATTCTTGGGATTTGGACATCCCAAGTGGTAAACACTTTAGATCTAAGGTCTTGATGGGTTTTCATGGCATAAAGGTGCCACCTTTATGACCATGGAAGTCCCATGCAACCTTTAGACCATCATTTTGGTCTTTTGAAGCTTCTAATGGCCATCCATGAGGATAAAGTTTAAGACTTTACATGATCATTTAGTCCCTAGAGTCCAGATCTATGACCTCATGGTCTATCTTGTAGTTTTGGTTGGCTTTGGATCAATACCTTGGCCTTTTTGGGTTAGGGTTAGAGCTTATTTCTTCTAGAGTGGGTTTTAATGGGTAAAGTTGGAAACTTTACCCTCCTAGATGTATTTCTGGCCCAGCTCTGGAATATGGGACTTGGATTTGAAGGATAAGGGTTGAATGGATTAAGAAGGGATTAACAGACTGAAGAACTTGACGAGTTGGGTCGAAGGGTCCCGATTCTGTTAAAAGGAAGAACTCGGCGAGTTGGAGGAAAACTCGACGAGTTGGATCGCGATTTAATGATTCTGTGATTCATGGGAACTCGGCGAGTTGAAGGGAAAACTCGACGAGTTGAGTCAACTGGGAGCGTTGACTTTGACTTTGACCTAGACCTGAATTTGACCATAGTTGACCCTAAAGAGTTATGAGTGTGAAATGGCAGCTAAGAGATTGTTTTGGTTCAGGGATTGAGTAGAGCTGATTTCGGGGCAGAGACATTTCAGCTATCATCCGACATTTGAGGTGAGTTTTCCTCCTGTATGAACGGGTCGAAGGCACCAATGTCGGCCCATATATTTATGTTAGTATGTTCCGGACCAAGGTCCGATTTCGGGCGGTACCCGATGTATGCTTATATGATTTCCGGATTTGAGTCCGATGTCGGGCGGTGCCCGAGGAATGTTTGTATGCTTGATGTCTTCGTGATTCTTGCATGTGTCTGTATTTGTATGGTTCTGGATTATGGTCCTATGTCGGGCAATGCCCGAGGAATGTTTGTATGTTTCCGGATTATGGTCTGATGTCGGGCGGGGCCCGAAGAATGTTTATATGCTTATGTTATGTGATTATTTTATGTGTATTTTTTGATATGTTTATATGTATACCGAGCGTTGCTCGATGCCGGGCGGGGCCTGTCGGGTGGGGCCCGATGCCAGGCGGGGCCCATGATATGTTTATATGTGATTATGTGATTATATGTATGGTATGTGGTATTTTGGGGAAGCTCACTAAGCTTTGTGCTTACGGTTTTCAGTTTTGGTTTCAGGTACTTCTAGTAGCAAGGGGCAGACCTCGGGATGACTGCATTACACACACCATAATGTTTAGCCTAGGATGTTTTACTCTGATGATTTGATTTGGGAGCAATGTTTTGAGATACTTTGACTTGTGTTTTGAGGGGAATGTTTTGATAACTATGGTTTTATTTGATAATTAAAAATAAAATTTTCGGTCATGAATTTTGGGATGTTTCAAGTTGGTATCAGAGCCTTGGTTTGAGGGATTCGGGCACACTCTTAGGTGTGTCTAAACTCAAACTGAGGACTTGGTATGAAAATTTTCAAAAGAAAATCATTTTTATGAAAAGGATTCCAAAAAAGAGAAAAGGGTGTGGTGTATGCAATCAGCAGAGCTCAAGTAAGTTCTCCCAAATTATCCATACATGTTTGTTATGATACGATATGATTATGAGAACTGCATGCTAGATTAGGGCTAAGGATCTAGGAAGGATGCCTTGCATGCCTGTTGTATATGTATGAGAACTGCATGCTATATTAGGGCTAAGGATCTAGGAAGGATGCCTTGTATGCCTACTATATGAGCTTATTGAACTACATGCTAGTACTGATTAGTCAGTGATATGATCGCATGAGTAGGATATGCTTGGTTTTGATTACTCAATGCTCGAATGTTGCTTGCTTTGTGCTTGTAGGTGTTCTAGCTATCTTTAAATAACTAGTAAATGAATACGCTAAGTTACATATTATGAGGACTAAATAATTTATGAAGGTTAGGTTTAGCCCTATTACGCAGCTCTTGTTTGAGTCCAACCATTGTAGGGAGAGACCTCTCATTCGAAGAATTATATTGTCTTAGTAATATGTAATGGTATTCACGAGCTAGTTAGGGAAAGGTAGCAAGGACTTCTTATGCAGCTGATGGCGGACAGTGGGTCGGAGATTACCCTAGGGCAAGCCTAGGATGAGATTAGCAGAAAGCAGTAATAGTGAAAGGGACTTGGTGGAGTCAAGGCAAGTCTTGAGGAAAGTACGGATAGATGTGGAAGGTGGTATGTGCCCGTACTACTGAAAGCAGAGGATCCGTACTCGAGTCAAGGAGGGCTGAGATGAAACCAGGGAACTTGTAGTGTGTGAGATCCCTCGAGTTATGATGAGTATTCTGATGATTGTTATGGTGTATTTTCAGTATGGTGACGCTACGCACTAGACCAGTTGGCAGTTCTGGCACCGGCGAGGTATCAGGCTCGGGGTCTGGAGCCGGGCAGCTCGATGATCAGATGAGGGAGTTCATTTCATCTGATA